TTGGCATATTTGAAAAAAGCATTTTTTAACGAATAATTTAGTATTTGGTATTTCGAGTCAAATTGTCGTTATGAACCGCATATGTTACAATTTCAAATAAACCATATGCGAAAATGTCAAAAGTGATATATGATATGTCATTCTATTCAGAGTATCATTTTCTATTGAATAAAGTAAAAAAAATACCGAGGGTGCCATTTAAAAATCAAAAGTTGTAGTAATTACAGGTGGAACAGGAAGTGACCGAAAACAATAATTGAATACGTCAATCAATCCTAATTTATGTCATTTACTAACATACCAAATCTCGTTTTTCTATCTAAAAAATAGAATATGAGGTATGAGCCACTTTCGAGAAACACCCGGTATATGTAACATCGATGCTATTCTGATATTTTATACTGTAAATATTTCCATACAATTAATGACTATTTATAAAACATAAAATTTTATATTATATTTGCGTAATTTCAAAAATATAAAATAAATATTTTATTTAAATATCTCTACTCATGCTAATAATTAATTTAATTTATTCATATTAAGTAGCTACTCCTATTATTTATATAGTTTGTATATTCTCCATAAATATATTTAACCAAAAAGAATATTAAAAACGTTATGAAAACAACTACACCTGAGGTGTATTTTTCTAAAACTAATTGTAATCTAAACGTTATCCAACCCAGTGTGAGTACATATCAATGTAAAACCTCTGACGAAGAGTAGGGGTCTCAAAAAACTCACAATATTTTAGGATGTTTATTTCAAAATTTAATTTGATTTAAAATTGGGGCGACATGTTTCGGGGTTCATTTAATTCCCATCCTCAGGCCCAGAAAGACAAAAGTTACACCAGGAAGCCATACCACTAGATAACAAATAAATTGGATTGTTAAAATTCATTAAAAATTGTACTCATTGTAACTGCAAACCAATTCAATTTCTCAAAAGAAAAACCGATTAGTTTGCAATTACAATGAGTACAATTGCTGAATGAATTTTAACAATCCAACTGTTTTATTTTTTCCGAGTGGTATGGCTTCCTGGTGTGGCTTATGTCTTTCTGGGCCTGAGGATGGGAATTAAATAAATCCCGAAACATGTCGCCCCAATTTTAAATCAAATTAAATTTTGAAACAAACATCCTACGTACTACATAAACATACTAAGATATTGAGTTTTTTGAGTCCCCTACCCCTCGTCAGAGGTTTTACATTAATTGTAATCTACTTTCTAACCACTTTCTATTTTTCTTTAATAACTGTCATGTCCAAGTCAGTTGATACTTGTCTGGAAACTTATATGGTAAAATTTTAATAAAATAATTTAGTATTGACTAAGGACACGGTAAGGCGCTAGTAGTAGGAAATTTTTTAGAGGTTACTAGTTTATTTGGTTGCCTATAAAATACATATAATCTCCTTTAAATGTACTTGACATAATTATTGTCAATTTGTCAATGGGAAATAGTTAAAAAATATGGTTTTATTAAATTTGGACCTGCGTCGAAAAAATATGTTTGTTTTTGAATACAACCGCTTTCAACATCAAAAGATAATGTTTTTAAATTGTTTTATGACACTCCCAATCAGTGGAATAAATTAGTAGTTTCAATTAGCCGGTGAAGTTTGTTCCCCTAATTTTAATGTAAGCATTCAAAACGTCATAATTAGTGGTAGTAATTTTCAATTAGTGGAAAAAGTTAATAAATTATACTTCAAAATTTGCGAGGAATATCATTTTGGCCTTGATTATCACCCGTCAAGAAAAATTTTGGTTAGAAATCAAAAGTTTATTGTTTTATAAGCTAAATATTATGCTTTCTCTATGGATACAACAGTTAATAGGATACCGCAAGCTGTTGCTACGATATTTCATTAATTTTAATCGTGTTTTTTAGACATTGTAAATGATCATAAACTAAAAAGTATAAAGTGTAATTGAAACCACTAATTGGGAGATTCTGAATTAAGCTTTACTCTTATATACTAATATATCAGAGTAACTTTAAAATAAATCCTTGGAATTCAAATATAAATATAAAAAACATTTAGAGCAGAAAAGGCGAAGGCGCTGGGTTAAACGTAGTCTTGACTAAGGACACGGAGGGGCGCTTTCACATAAAATTTTACTATTAAGTTTCATATCTATCTTAATAGATGATTATTTTCTTTTGAAACAAAACATACTTGTCATTTTTTTCTTCATTTCAGTTTCATTATTCAAAATCTCATTGGTTGCAAATGTAGCTAAATATCAAAACAAATATAATTTTCATAAGTGGGTAACAGTTTCATGTTGTAATATAGAGATCTAAAAACCTAGATGTTTTATAAAATAAAAGTTCATTAGATTTATTTATTAAGTTTTTCATAAAACTGTCAACCTAATCGAGACGAGAAAAAGATCAAACATTTAACGAATCACTTGTATAAATAGCTGTTTGTTTTCTTGACGAATCAATTGCAAATAAAATTCTTTCAAAGCCACCTAAATAAAGAAAATGCTAAGGAGAAATAGTAGTCGGGGCTTTGCTAAGTGCGATTAAAAATAGAATTAAAAAAATCTACAATATGGCTATTATTTTCGAAATAAGAAACACTATATGATCGGAAAATAAACGGTGTCAAAGCTGGTTCGAAAATTACTAGCGATGACATCTACCAAATAATTTTACATACAAAATGTCACTGATTGATATTTCTAAATATTTCTTTCGCTCAAAAGGTATACAGAGTGTCTCAGGCTGAGCGTGCCACTAGAAGTTTCTAAAGAACTACAATATTTTAATCGGAGATTTTTTACACATCATTGTTTCACACGGAGATCTATCGATTAACAATATTTTCAATATGGCCGCACTTCCGAAAATACCTGAAGTTGACAGCAACGTTCTAATCTTAAATGGGTACCCCCATTTTATATTATATATTTAAGATCTCTATAACATTTTATGAATTTTTCACCATCAAACACTCTGTAACTAACATTTAATTAACAGGAAAAAAATGTTTAAAATTTTTGGAGGAAAAAAACTGCCTGTCAAAAAAAATTGTATAGCCTAATCGTCAAAATTAGTGATTACCACAGCCACTGTGACATACAGAGAAGACATGTGGCTATCTTTTTCAAAAATTAAATTATTTGAATGTCATATAATATTGGCCGTAGCTGTCATTAAATCGAGAGATTAAAAAATTATCACCAATAATTTTTTTCAAATGGAAACCAACTTTTTTATTTCACCAGTGAAAAGGCTTTTCATTATTTTCATTACTTCTTGATTATACATGTTCCTAGATCTAAAATAAATCGTTTTTAAGATATCTAAGATTTAGTTTTAAAGCGTATATTTTTCTGGTTTTTAACCAGTAGCCAATGAATTACTTTAAATGTCAAGCGATGTAAAACTACATATATTGGGCCATGTTATATTGCCATTAGATATCGCTAAAATACGAGATATATTTTTATAAATACACTTAAAGTTTTAGCAGCAGTATTTATAATGTACGAAATTCAAATAATTACTTTTTTGACAAAAGAAAATAAACTGTCTGATGGTTTGACACTTAATGTCAAAGGAAGCTAGATAAAAGCAAGAAAAACTTAGGCTTTAAAACTAAATCTTAAATAACTTAAAAACGATTTATTTTAGGTATAGGAACACATATAATCAAAAAGTAACAAATTGAAAAATATTTTCACCAGTGAATTAAAACAAGTGGGTTTCTATTTGAGAAAAATAATTTATGATAATTTTTTAATCTCTCAATTCCATGACAGCTACGGCCACTATTATGACATCCAAACAATTTAGTTTTTAAAATAGAGCCTCTAGTCTTCTCTTTATGTCACAGTGGCTGTAGTAATCACTAAATTTGATGTTTAGGCTATAGAAATTTTTTTGATTCCTCCAAAAATGTTATTTTTTTTCTCAAAAACGGTTAATACTAGGTATAGAGTGTTTGACATTAAAATTCGAACAATTTTACAGAGAATTTAAGTATGTAATAAAAAATGGGGTACCCATTTAAAATAACAAAGTTGCTGTCAGCTTCCGGTATTTCCAGAAGTGCCGCCATATTGAAAATATTTTTAATTGATAGATCTCATTGTGAAACAATGATGAACAATGATAAAGCAAAAAATCTCCGATCTAGATCTTGTAGTTCTCTAGAAATTTCTAATGCACATTCAGTCTGGGACACCCTATATATAATATTCTACTAGATATAACTTCTACTAGATCTAAGTATGTATTTATATTCAAGAAATATTATTATATTAATTTATATTCAAGAAATATTATTAAAGAAATAATCAGTCACATACCCACATTTTTCTTTTTTGTGTGTAGGTAAAAATATACTATTCAGTAAACGCCACCATAATTTATATAATAAAAAAAAATCAATTATAATATACATTACTTAGTTCAGTAAAAAATAAATTTTAGATACATTTCGATATCACTTATGCATTTAACAATACATAGACTAGAACTCTAAATTTAGTATGTAGACATAGTGTATGATTGAAAAAAAAATGAATAGTGATAGCTATAAAATAAAGATCGCTATCATTTCATATGTAAAATTATATAGGAACTGTCATTGATGTCATTTCCAAGCCAACTGGACGCTGTGTTTTTTTCAATCATACACTAGTACACAAAATACATAATTAACAAAGCTTTGTCGTATAACACAAATAGATACCATATGATCGAAAAGAAAACGGCATTCACTTGGCTGGGAAATAACAATCAATGACATTTCCTAGATAAATTTACATATAAAATGACAGCGATCTTCATTTCATAGCCATCGTTGACGCCGTTTTTGTTTTGAATATACAGTACTATTTCTCAAAGACAACTTTCAAAATAAATTAATTTAAGATGTACCGAATATTATTTAGAATTTAGGTAAATCTATAACTCAGTGCCTCGATTTGTTTCCAGAAAATTATTTTGAACTTAATTCTAAACATACCTTTCCCTGCATAATCAGTCTGATAGTTAACGTAACATTTGGGTCATCGTTTGTTATATGATGTTGCTTTGAGTCCAAATCCATGACTTTTTGACTAGGGGGTTTCAGGGTGACGGGAAGAAGCAGTGGGTTTAATTCTGCAACAAAATAGGAAGGTCAGTAATGCAAGCACTGATGAGAATTAAAATAAAAAGGGCCACTAAGTTGGACTTTCAGCAGGACTTTCGGTTAACATGCAGTTGTCAATTGTTTATAATAGTTCACAAAGGTCAATAAACTTGTAAACAAAATGTCATTATTAATCGATTAAAAACAATTACAATGCTTTAGAATCTTGGGCCGAGTGTATTAGAGTAAAGGTAGATAATTATACTACTATTTTCTTTGCATTGGTTGTGTATTCTTAATGCAGCTGCATATTTTTGTACCAAGTTATTTTTAGGCAGATCCTCAGACACAAAACAAAACACAAGCACCACTTCTATCAATGATCTGCAGATTTAAATTTTCCTCTTCGAATCGTAAAACTAAAGATAAATTTGATAAACTAGCACATAACCAAAAACGCTGCACTGAATCCTCTGATCTTAGTCCCCAGTTCACTTATAAACAACAATAATATAATTGCCTTAACCGGTATTTTTCGAATCATTTAAACGTTAAAAACTTACATTAAACCCGTTTTTTCTTACTGCTAAAATAATATTTTTGTAGAGCTTGCCGACGCGACGCCGCCAATCACACGTGCTTCAGACTACAATACTGCCAACTGAAACGCATGTGCGATGGCAGGCAGCCATGATAAATGAAAAGTATCCATATTTGAAACGGGGCGCGCAGCTTTCAATAGTGGAGCGGGATTTTCTAAAATTAGATTCAATTAATAAGTAACGTAGTTAAGATTCAATTAACAAAGTAACTTACTTTGTTAATTGAATAAAGTTACCTTGAATATAAACACAAGTTACCTTGAATAATAAAAAGTTAAACAAATATTTTAAATAAAAAATTATTATATGTACGTGTTTAGAAAAATGTATGATAAGAATGTGTATTGAAATTAATTTAAGATCATAAAGTAACTCTATGCTTACGATACAATAAAACTAGCCCATTAATATTTAATAAATTGATTAGCCAAAAGATAAACCTAATTCACCTTTATTGGTACTTATTGGATAAACTGGAAATTGGTATACACTCTATTTTGAGGTCGTAAATTATACGTATCTGAAAGTTTTTTGGCGGTCTCTTACCGTTTATCAGAAAAATGAAAATTCATTTAAAAAAAACATTGAATTTTCCATAATTTAAGCTCTATAAAGTAATAGGTAATTTCATTATATTATAGTTCATAAAAGCTACCCTTGATTGGGTATAGAAAAATATCCAAAATTTTACTGAAAACACTTTTTTAACAAAATAAACAACGAAAATTGAGACAAAATGGAAGTTTTACATTCATATAAAATATGCACCTTTCTCTCTCCTAGGTATTGAGAGAGACAAATATAGTTCTACAAATTTCAAAATTTGCAACGTTGCCATGTCTCGTACTTTTTCGGTTGATAGGTAGGAATAGGTAGATAATTAAATATTTTAATAAAATAATTGGTGGGATTAAAGGTTAATGTCTAACTATAGTTCTAGCAATTAAAACACACTGTATAACCGTGTTTTGATTGCGTTGGTTTCACTCTTGTTTTTTTTTTGTTTTTCTCTTCTTTAATTCGAATTTGAATAACAAGCGTTAAAACTTTGTTTATATAGGTAAGGCTTAATGTTAATACAACCAGTGAATCGCAAAAGAAAGGCTGAAACCAAAGCAATCACAACTCATTCGTGAACCCGTTAGTGACTGGACTAGGTATATTCTCTGATATAAAAGGATAGTTTGGTTTGGTTTAGAAATCTTACAAAATCTTGAGAAATCTTACAAATACGAGAAATTTTAAAAAAGTACATCTTATTGTTACGTTTTTGTGAAGATTTTTCCGAAAAACGGTCAAAGACCGCCAAAAAATTCGGAATCTGCGACCTAAAGACGTAAATACGTAATCTATGACCTAAAAACTAAAATTCGTTCAGATTCGTAATCTACGGCCTCAAAATAGAGTATTTACAAATTTTTGTGAAAACCAGACAATTTATAGTTTTTCCAAAAATTACCAACATACATATTTAAATACTTTAAAATATTTGTAATTAGTTATTTGTTTAAGCGTTTAAATAATAACCCTAATGGTATTAATTGAAAAGAAATCCTTCTAGTCTATTATTTAGACTAGAGGGAGATCATATCGATTTGAGTTACAGAAAGCAGGAGTTACATCCAAAAGAAATTAACTTCTAAATAATTCCTGCAAACTCAGATATTCTAGTACATGAAATTTATATTATAATATTCACCTATCCATCACACATATCTATTAAATGGCCTGATCTCAATTTAATTCTATTTTTAGTATTACTATAAATTGCAAATATTTGTAAAACATTCAATAGAGCCTTTTATTACTAATTTTGATTTTTTTAGTAGAACACAAATAAAAATTATATACCTAAATTATTACCAGATACGATAAAATTGATGATGTAATTTATCACGTAATAGAAATTGAAATTTTACTACAGGTGAGAAAAATGACAAAATTGGTCAATTGTATGCTACAATAATATCGCACTTTAAATATGTTCATATATGTAATTTGTATTTTACTTCAGAAAGGTGTGTAAACTTATATGATATTATTATAATAGACACGTAAAGGTTATTAATTTTACCATAGATTTAATAATTTTACTAACAAATACCGATGATAAGTAGGTATATATTTTTTTAAGATTATATTTATGAATGTAGTAATAAATCTAAAAACTAATTAAGTAATAAATCAAACCCTTCATTGTGTCATTTTTTATCTCTTCAGACCCCAGAGCAGTAAAAATAATACCGTATGGACGAAAAAAAAAACGGCGTCCAGTGGGCTTGGAAATGAACATCGATAACATTCCCCATAGGTATACCTAATTTTACATATAAAATGTCAGCGACCTTCTTTTCATAGCTATCACTGACGACTTTTTTTTCATCATATTGCACTTGCTTTCACTTAAAGTATATGCTGCAAAATTAATTGGATGGTATAAATTGTGGGGAAAAGATACCGTATAATAGAAAAAAGACAGTGTCCAGTTGGCTTGGAAATGATAATCGATAAGTTTTTCCATATAAATTTAGATATAAAGTGACAGCGATCTTCATTTCAAAGCCGTCACTCACACCGTTTTTTTGATCATATTGTACTACTTTACTAGATAAAGGATTCCGGACAAAGTTTACAGAATTTTATTCTGCTTAAATAGAACAAGAATATTTTTTTCTATAAATTCGCTACCCGGCAGTATTCGTACCTTCACCATTTAGTACAGAAAAAGGTAGTTGAACAGACAAATACCTACTATATGATTGAAAAAAAACAGTGTAAAGTTGAATTTGAAATAACAATCGATGATATTCCCAATATAATTTAACGTAAAATAACAGAGTGATTCTCATTTTCAAGCCAACTCTGATGCCGATTTTTTTGACTTGGATGTGGTATTTTTACAAAATTCAAAGAAAAAACAATTACGTTTGCTAAACTATACGATACTAATAAATATTGATTTATTAAAAAGACTTAAAATTTAGTGTAAATAAATAAATTTGATTTAAAGTAAATAAACTTTAATGACTTCTTAGGCATATAAACGATTTGACAATTTTAAATATTTTTTCAATATATTATTAATTTTTAGTTTTTAGATATATGTAATCGGGAGATTAATATATTTAACAGAAATTGATATTTAAAATATAATTCTAACTAGCTTGACAAACAATGACTTCTCTCCGGGCCGAAATCAACAATCCCTGACATTCAACTGTTTCCCAAGCCTACTAGTCCGCTACTCGCCAACATCAGCGGACACGGGGTGCAGGCACGGCGTGAAAATGACTGCCTATCATAAGGATCATAGGCGTCGATAACATTCGGCCACTCCTGACTTATGAGTGTTCTCACTCCTCTGAATCACACTAAAAAGGGCAAAAATAATCAGAACCTTTTAAATTGCATTTTTAAAAGCTGAAATAAAAATATTTATTAGCTTGTTTCCTGCTGATACTGGACAATTGATACAAAACCAATTGACAAAACCTTATCAGCTAATTGCTACCATTCTTACATCACACTAAAAGGACAAAAATAATCAGAATCGTTTAAAGGACATTTTTAAATGCTGAAATAAAAATATATGTTAGATTGTTTGCTGCTGATACTAGACAATTGATACAAAACCAATTGACTAAACCTTATCAGCTAATTGTTACCATTATCTCAACACTAAAAGGAGAAACATTATCAGAATCATTTAAAGGACATTTTTAAAAGCTGAAATAAAAATATAGTTAGATTTTTCACTGCTCATACTGGAGCTACGTCTTATTTGCTACTTAAATAAATAAAAATAAAATATCGTAACTCACTCAGAAACAATACCCAAAAACTCATGATGGACAAATAAATTATTCAGGGACAAAAAACAATTTCAAAAGGTAAAATAAACGAATTACTTATTATATATTGGTGTTACACGCAATCTGCAGCTTGCGTGCAACAAAATAATGTTAAATCTCAACTCTAAAATCTTAAACCTAAATTCTAAAATATAAATCTAAATCTAACTATGGGCCCACGCCTATTCCAGCCACTGGAAAAGAGAGCAATCCGGGTCGAACTAACCAGACCGAATACCGGGACTCATCCCTATTCGCAAGTCTTGTCCGCCCTACTCACAAAGCGCCCAGGTGGTAAACTCATACATTAGCAACCACCACACGCCTTTTCCAGCTATCATACTAACGTATACCTTGAAAAAGAGAGTACCGGGTAGAACTAACCCTACTCCTTTTTCCAATCCTAATACACGTTTGAATCTACCATAACCAAATCCATTGCTTGCCAAACCTAGCTATTCCACAGTACTTGTTCTTTGACCGTGCATACCATCCTAGGATGTTTCTAACTTCATATCATCCAATTCTCAGCTGCTTAGAAGTTCAAATGAATCTATCTACCATGGAGTTGATTGG